TGTTAATTACTGTTTAGACTGTAGTATCAGGTGGTGAAAGCTACAAAAGATCACAGATCGAATAACAGGTATGTTGGCGGACCTATTGTTTGAGTGATGGAAAGAATGTCAACTTGTGCACTTTCTGGAGTATTACCAACTTCCCTGCATCTGTGTGTGTAAGTGTGTGTTAAGGTCTGCGCTGCTTACTTCGAGTATTTCCTCACCCTCTCACCCCCCGCTGATCATCCCCCCTTTCTCTGAGCTCCAACATTCCAGCGAGTGATAGAGTGTTGAAATGAGAGAGGGAGAGGGAGGTGAGACCAATTGATAGACAGACTTAGAGGGGCTAAAAAAGAACAACAAAAACTTTGAACTAAAGATTAGGAGACCTGAGATTAACCCTACAGTCACCCATTTGGCATCAAGTCGATTCTTCCTACTGAGCATTCCACTGATATTTATAGGAAGATGAGTTCAGGATGAAAAAAACTTCAGCTATTCATGTTTTACGGTAAGCACGGACGTGACTCACAAGCACCCATATTCACCCGTATTCTTCATCTGCCAGGTTTCAATGTTCATAAATCAAGCACAGAGTTCATTCATTCTCATTTTTTATTTACTTAAGTTATTTATGTGTGTGTGTGTGTGTGTGTGTGTGTGTGTGTGTGTAGTTATTAGTTTTTTTTCTTTTGATTTTCTTTTGTAGTTAATTTATTACTTAATTTATTTTAATTTTATTTGATTAGACTTGCTAAAAAGGTTTTTGCATAGTTTTGATTATCTTATATATTTGTTTTGCTTAGTTTTGATTCTTACTTGATTGTTTTGATTTGGTTATTTTATTTAATTATATGTGTCTATATTTATATATATATCAAATAAATGACTATTTCATTTTTTTTACTGTTTTTATTTGATATTGGGGGGATGATTTTATTTTGTTTGTTAATACTACTTGTTTATTCCATTTTCAGTATTATCTTTTATTTTATCAGTTTGTCACTGCTTTGGCAATATAGTAATACTACTAAAAAATTATAATACTAATACAAAAAATAATACTAAAAAATTAGAATACTAATACAGCATAGATAATACTAATAAAGCATTTGTGAGATTAAAACTGAGACAATGAGAACATTTTTAATATTTCAGCTGTCCCTTTGTTAAACCTTAACACTATTATCGAGCCTCATTTGAAGCCTGGAACAAAAAAATCAGAGGACAGAACACAAAGCATAAATGATTTAAGTTCATCTGTGGAGGCTCAAGATGAAGTTTAGCCCAGTATGTATGATGAATGGCATTACTGTATGAATAAAGGCATTGATAAAGTAACTGTAGCGTTTGAAAGGACACTAGCACAGGGAGCACCCGCTGACCCCTGTATTGAGACGGGGTCCATCCCCCACTGCTTTCTCCCACCCTCCCCACTGACTCCCAGCCCCCGGGGGCTGAGGGGGGAGCAGCATAATTGCCCCCCTCTGGGACCACTTTAATTCCAGTCTTTGTGTTTTAATTGCCCCCCCTCCCGACCCTCTTTTGATGAACACATTGGGGCCATACCACAAACAGATTTTAATCAGGGCTTTAACGGGGTGTGTGTGTGCTGGTGCGCCAGATGACTGCTCCCAAGCATCTGGTGACAGCAGTTAAAGAATGTGAGACATGTAAATTATTATTGGCTTATATATTTGTTTTGCTTAGTTTTGATTCTTACTTGATTGTTTTGATTTGGTTATTTTATTTAATTATATGTGTCTATATTTATATATATATCAAATAAATGACTATTTCATTTTTTTTACTGTTTTTATTTGATATTGGGGGGATGATTTTATTTTGTTTGTTAATACTACTTGTTTATTCCATTTTCAGTATTATCTTTTATTTTATCAGTTTGTCACTGCTTTGGCAATATAGTAATACTACTAAAAAATTATAATACTAATACAAAAAATAATACTAAAAAATTAGAATACTAATACAGCATAGATAATACTAATAAAGCATTTGTGAGATTAAAACTGAGACAATGAGAACATTTTTAATATTTCAGCTGTCCCTTTGTTAAACCTTAACACTATTATCGAGCCTCATTTGAAGCCTGGAACAAAAAAATCAGAGGACAGAACACAAAGCATAAATGATTTAAGTTCATCTGTGGAGGCTCAAGATGAAGTTTAGCCCAGTATGTATGATGAATGGCATTACTGTATGAATAAAGGCATTGATAAAGTAACTGTAGCGTTTGAAAGGACACTGGCGCGGGGAGCACCCACTGACCCCTGTATTGAGACGGGGTCCATCCCCCACTGCTTTCTCCCACCCTCCCCACTGACTCCCAGCCCCCGGGGGCTGAGGGGGGAGCAGCATAATTGCCCCCCTCTGGGACCACTTTAATTCCAGTCTTTGTGTTTTAATTGCCCCCCCTCCCGACCCTCTTTTGATGAACACATTGGGGCCATACCACAAACAGATTTTAATCAGGGCTTTAACGGGGTGTGTGTGTGCTGGTGCGCCAGATGACTGCTCCCAAGCATCTGGTGACAGCAGTTAAAGAATGTGAGACATGTAAATTATTATTGGCTGTGAGGTATATTTGCTTCATTCATCAAACAAAGATGCATCAGTGTGTAACTCCCATACACGGCCACCAGAGAATTGAAGTGTGTGACTGGTAGTGCTTTGGCTTTCTGTGTAGCTCTATGTGTGTTTGTATGTGTGTGTGTGTGTTTGGATCAGCAGTGAGTGAAAGCAGCAGGCCAATTAAAAGGGCTGTGTGTGTGTAAGACTAGAAGAGGTCTGGAGCCAGATCGTCTGTCCTAAGACCAAGGGGTCCCCCCCATCAACAAACAAGAAAAAGAGAGAGCAAGAGAGACTTTGGAGACTTTGATCATCGAGCAGACGTGTGGATGTTGTCACACACGACAGAAACACCCACTCTGGGAAATAACGCTACTGCTGTTTCCAGCAGACAGGGAGGAAAGCTGAAATTCTCCAGAAAGTTAGGAGGATCCCAGTTAGTGTCTATGACGCTCACTTCGGCCCTTGAGAGGTTTGTGCTCCAATATTTCAGTGTCAACTGATACTTTACTCTGTTAGCTAGAGTTTTACACGTTCTAAAGAAATTATGAGTGGTGAATGCTTGTGCGAGACCCACCACCATAATGCTAAGGTGTTGTAGGTGGTTGCTAGGGTGTTGCTATGTGGTTGCTAGGGTCTTCTAGGCAGGGCATTTGTTGTTGTTTACTTAGTAGCCCAAGTGAAAAGAGTCCATTTCCAAATCTCTATGATATTCTAGTCCCTAGATATGGCTCCTTGGGTCACTCCTTTATTATAAGTAATTGCAGCGTTTCCAGGTAAAAATTGTAAGTCTAGATGTATTACATTTAGAAGCCACACAATTTGAGGTATCAGTCACATCCTTAGCATAAACAATGCTAGACAAATTACACACTATAGTATAGTACTTTGCAGTCAGCATCAAATGAAATTTCACCCTACCTATTTTTGTAAATGCATGTTATTGATCTCATTGTGAGCGATTCAACAATGCATGTTTCAATCTTGAATCAAAATGTCAAAAACCAATCTCCCGGTGAAACTACAGACTTTTCTCTGGTGGCATATGCTGAATTCTCTAATCATTTAGTCCACTTAAACCCTTTTATCAATCGAATACAAGCTTGAGACAACAACCAGTGAATTGAACCAAATACCCTTTTGGATGTACGTCACAGAATGAAAGAAATGATCACTCACTTCATCCGTTTCATCGCAACTTTAGGGGCTAGCAAGCATTAACAAGGATCACTAATACAGCTTGTCATTTAATTTCAGAGTATAAAAACTATAACTCCACAAAAGACACATTTTCAGAGGACGAGAAGTAAACCTAATCACCATCCAAAAAGTTGTGCCCAGGGAGCCTAGAAAGTTTTTATAACTGATTTTAGGCCTGACTGATATTGAGCTCATAATGAAAAAGCCTGAACCTGAGCTGAGCTCAGAAACGAACATATGGAAGCTAAAGTGGCATGCGATGATGGATGGATGAATAAATACACTAGGGCATTCTTTCTACCTCTGGCGTTCTTCTATCAGTGGGCAGCACATAAACAGAGATAGCATACTGCCAGAAGCGCTACAGGAGCAGAACCAAGAATGAAGCAAATGCCGGAGAGAGGGAGGGTGTGTAGAGGAGCAGACAGGCAGACTGTCTCCGTCGCCTCACTCCATGCGTCAAATGAAAGGGAGAAGTGTGGCGTAGACTGGGTGTGTATGACTCCGTCAACCAGTGTGCGTGTGTTTATCTGTAATGAGTAAGGGAGTGTTGATGAAACTCTAATTTATTTCTCCATTTGTGTTTGTGAGTATGAGCATGTGTTTCTGCAGATAGTCAATAGTCATCAACTGGTGATGCAACCTGACACATTTCTAATGCCTTTGCGTAAATAAGACTCTGCTCTCACAAGGCAAGCGAGATCAATACGTTGCACACATTCACGCCAACACATCCATGTTCCTGCCATTCTCGTCGACCTATTCTCTGACTATGGCCAGTGGATATTCGATCAGTGAACTGATGTTCAGAATAATCTATATTCATGCTTCTGTCTCGGCTCTTCTTCTACAAAGAAATCAACATACTCATCTGTCTTTCCATTGTTCGCATTTTTTGCCTTTTCTTCCCTGCCGCCGTCCCTTTGTGATTTGCCGTCTGGTCGTCTTTGAGATGGTATTGTAGATCAATGCGAGGGCAATTGAAAATGTGATTGCATCAGGTTTGCCATTCAAGTCAGACGGTCCGTGAAAGTTCTCTAAATGAAGAATTCTTGTCGCCGATGGGACAGACATCGCTAGGGTTATTCTCATTTTCTTGTTTCTTGTTTTCTGCAGATCTCAAATGTTAGATGATCTTGTCTCAAAAAATTTAGTTTTATAGGTTTTTAATATTTGCATTATCAATTTTTTTGTACTAAATATTTACGGAATCACTCATTCTCTTTTAGGTTCCGATGGGACAACTATGCGGTTGAGGTACACCTGAACGACTACCTGGACATCGTTTGTCCTCACTACCCACTGGGCGAAGTGCCGTCACAGGACGCTGAGCGCTACGTGCTCTACATGGTGGAACGCGAAGACTATGACACCTGCCGTCCGCAATCCTACGATCAGATGCGTTGGGAATGCGGCCACCCTTTCGCCCCACACGCGCCCGAGAAGTTCTCCGAGAAGTTCCAGCGCTTCACGCCATTCACTCTGGGAAAAGAGTTCCGACAGGGCGAGAGCTACTACTACATCTGTGAGTACAGGCCTTACAAAAGTCAGCTTGCACTTAAGCTATGAATGTAACGTTTATGGTGGATCGTTTTAAAGAATGGTTAGGGGTGGAAATGCTATTGAACATCCAAAAACCGGTTATAGATTTATTGCCCCACAAACCATGCGCTGAATGCTAAGTCTGTGAGTCATATTGGAGCCCTCCTTCAGCACCACAGTAATGAATACATTTCAATTCATGTTGTGGACTGCTAAACTGACAGCAAAACCGCTACGTGTCTTTCTGGCATCCCCATAGGCTATCCTTGGGGATTTGGGGCAGTCGGAAACACAAGGAGCGCAATTCAGCCAGCATGTGGACTGGAATATGGAGGTCTAGAATTAAGAATGGTGAAATTCAACAACCCAATTTAGACCCTTCTAGGAAAGCGTACTGCTAAAAAAGTTAATTGTGCAAACATTGTGCAGTCAAAGGTGGAGCGTTTCATGGATAAAAATGCATTAGGTCTGTTTTGACGAAGTGGAAAGATCAATGTCAGTTAGTCAAATGCAAATACAGCTAAAGCACAGCTAAGCCCAATTTTCACTGTCGCAGTTTAAATCAATGGATTAGCAGCTCTGATACAGTGTAAACTCAAGGCATCTTAGAGCACAGTTCCACCACTGTAATAAAAGAGATCAGACACAGGTCACAGGTCCAGATGGCTGCTAAAGAGAAGTGGATTAGGCACTACACGTCTAACACTAAACCTTCTTTCTAATTAACCTGTCTGCTACTCATTTTTCTTTTATCTCCCTCAATCCTGATGGTCTTCTTTTTTTTCACCTTACAGCCAAACCACTGCACCACCATGGACAGGAGTGTCTGAGACTCCGGGTGGATGTAGTTGCTAATGATGGTGAGTATCGCCGCCCTGCTGGCAAATCTGAAAACTCCACATATTTTGCATTTCAGTTGATCTGTGTATTCACTGGTGTTTGTTTCCATTCAGGTTCTCAAGAAGCCAGGGTTGGCGCAGGAGGCGGAGCCAAGGTGGGCACAGGGGGAGGAGCTCACACACCATCTATTCGGTTACCAGCAGGTAACAGTCACGCTAATTGAGTTAAAACTGTTTTATCTTACTCATGTCATGAATACAGTTGCAGTGTATGCTGTCCAAGTATACAGTGGGTACGGAAAGTATTCAGACCCCCTTAAATTTTTCACTCTTTGTTATATTGCAGCCATTTGCTAAAATCATTTAAGTTAATTTTTTTTCCTCATTAATGTACACACAGCACCCCATATTGACAGAAAAACACAGAATTGTTGACATTTTTTGCAGATTTATTAAAAAAGAAAAATTGAAATATCACATGGTCCTAAGTATTCGGACCCTTTGCTCAGTATTTAGTAGAAGCTCCCTTTTGATCTAATACAGCCATGAGTCTTTTTGGGAAAGATGCAACAAGTTTTTCACACCTGGATTTGGGGATCCTCTGCCATTCCTCCTTGCAGATCCTCTCCAGTTCTGTCAGGTTGGCTGTCCACCAACGTTTACCATCCAACCTGGCAGAACTGGAGAGGATCTGCAAGGAGGAATGGCAGAGGGTCCCCAAATCCAGGTGTGAAAAACTTGTTGTATCTTTCCCAAAAAGACTCATGGCTGTATTGGATCAAAAGGGTGCTTCTACTAAATACTGAGCAAAGGGTCTGAATACTGTGACCATGTGATATTTCAGTTTTTCTTTTTTAATAAATCTGCAAAAATGTCAACAATTCTGTGTTTTTCTGTCAATATGGGGTGCTGTGTGTACATTAATGAGGAAAAAAAATTAACTTAAATGATTTTAGCAAATGGCTGCAATATAACAAAGAGTGAAAAATTTAAGGGGGTCTGAATACTTTCCGTACCCACTGTAACTACGCAGATGTTTCTACACAACCTCATTTTAACACACTTTTGCCTTTCCACAAAAATAGTAAGCAGCACAACTGTTTTCAACATTGATAATAATAAGAAATGTTCCTTGAGCACCAAATCAGCATATTATAATGATTTCTGAAGGATCATGTGATACTGAAGACTGGGGTAATAATGCTGAAAATTAAGCTTTGCCATCACAGGAATAAATTACATTTTAAAATATATTAAAACAGAAAACAGTTACTTTAAATTTGTAACAAAATTTCTAAATATTACAGTTTTTTGAAGCCTTGGTCTGCATAAGAGACCTTTTTCTATAAATTTTTTTTTTTTTTTTTTTTTTTTTTTTTTCAAATTTTTAATATATACAGAGTTCTGGCATGAAACTCTAGATGGCGCAGTCCGATAGGTCTAACTCAATCTGACCTAATGACATCATTATCACATGGCACAACTGATTGGTTCTCTCCTTTATCAGTAGCCAATGAGCTCGCTGCTCAACATTCAAATATATTTGACTAGTGCTTGCCGTAGCAGTTGCAGCTTGCTTCAGAAACCCTCCACCTTCCCCAGCTCCACCTGTATAGATCTGCTACGAGGTGATTTATGTATGCGATATGGGGGTTATTTCATGTATGTTATATTTGCAGCAGCAGTATTTCTTACATGCTCACAGCAGCATGTTGTGGATGTATTGGCAGTAGCAGCAGCAGCGTAGCAGATCTATTCCGCCAAGACCAAATACATTAACACTGTCATGTACATTACCATGCCAATCCCTCAGAGAGTTGTCATGACAGAACTATCAATCCAATGACAGAATGCATGTAGCAGATTGTTTACAGCAGGTACTTGCTCTGCCGCGGCAGCAGCAGCAGAAGCATAGCAGATCTATTCCGCCAAGACCAAATACATTAACATTGTCATGTACATTGCCATGCCAATCCCTCCGAGAGTTGTCATGACAGAAATATATATTATATATTTCAGCAAAATTAAAATGCTGCCAATATGCATGTTGAATACATTCAATGTGGTTTCGGGTTTTATCTTTGTAAACCAGCTACAACCACTAAAAAACAAAATATTTATTACTTCCCTGTTACAGATGATCCTGTTGTGGCTCTTCCTGAAGTACAGAAAAGCAAGCGGACAAACTCTGCCATTTCAATAGCATCCTGGACTGTCCTCACAACCTTACTCCCCATTTTATTATTACTGGTCTTACAGTGAGATGAACATTGGACTAAATTACACTTACAAAAGACTATAATGACAGCGGCCTGTGTTGATGGAAGCACACAGGGGTAGCTCTTTACATCCCAGTGCTGGCCATTGGGAGACGCACGCGTACAGGAAGTGGAGCTCTCACACCGCTGGTGCCGGTGGAGAAGCGTAACTGGAATGACGAGATCTTTGAACATTCTGACACTTCTAAAGAAACAAAATGAGACGTCAGTATTTTTCTGGAAATATTGTTCATGCAAAGGGAATTTTTCTCATATAAATGCCGGACTACACAAAACCTGGATAAGAACAAACTGAAACGGTAATGCAGAATTTGAAATAGCACGTACTTTAAATATGGACAACCCATTTATTTGAGTGTCATAATGAGGGGACGTAAGCCAAGATTGAGCCAAAGACCACAGAGCTTCTCACGGAGGAGCAGAGCGATCAACCCTTTCATTGTTTTCTCATGTTTTGTTGATCCAGAGAAATAATTGAGTTTCGAATTAATTGATGTAGCATTAGTTCAGTGGGTTTTATTCTCATGATTTTATAAGACTGTGTGCTGTACCTGGATTTAAACCTGGAAATGCAGCACAGAACACACACAAACCCCTTTTCCACTGCTGGTTCCTGTGACGGGACATCTGTGGAAATGAGTAGAGTATGTCAGATTGGGCGCCCTCACCCTGTCGGCAGAAAACGGGGGCATCCAATACTGTTTACCAAACCCACTGACACACTTCCATTCACAAATGCTGTGTTGTTTTTGTACGTTCATTGTTTAAAGTGTTAGTAAATTATTAGGTTTGCTGCAGAACAAATGACTGTATATAGTGAGCAAAAATGTTTACTGTGTGATAGAGAGAGAGAGGAAATGAGACGCAAGAGAGGACACACTTGTTGGATTCATGTGTATGTTGATGTGTAGATGAAAGACAGAAAGAAAAGCAGGAAATGTTGATATGTCCAGAAACACACGCTGCCTCTCAAATGTGTGTGTGTGTGTGTGTGTGTGTGTGTGTTAACAGAGGAGATATGATGGTCTGTCCCGGGACGGTGGGTAAGATCAGCAACCCTCAGCATTTAAACTGCTCAAACACAATCAATGAGAAGGGCACACACACACACATACAATCACTTACACATCACAAATGGACAACTGGAAGCCAACAGAAGGATTTTAACACAGAAAACAACCCAAGTAAAGTAATTCAACTGATTTGTATTGGTAATTGGACTATATATTGGTAATAGGGTATATGGGGTTGCCCATGTCAAATAAAATCCAATATAAAATAAATAATAAAATTTTAAAAAGATAAATTAATGATAGAAAATGACACATTTAAAATCATTAAATTGCATTATATAAACATACTGTTTATATAATGCAATTTAATAATAGCAAATTATTTATTTATAACAGATATTTTTACTTAGTATTTAATTAATATTCACACAAAAAAAATAATAATAAACACAGTTATTGACTGATGAATCTCAAAATGGCCAAATATCTGCTGATTACTTGACCTGCCTGATACATCAGTCTGTTACTACAATATAAGCCTGCTATGATTGTTTTTAATCTACATATTCTATATACTACCAGGAACTGTTTGTGTGGGGAAACTGCATCAGGTTTACAATTTGAGAAGGACACACATTTATAACACTAATCAGCTAAAGCACTATGAACAAAACACCACTGACTCTGACATGATGTAGCTGTTTAAGCTCAATTCCGGACAGTTGTTCGTACGACTGACGCAGCTGTATACGACTAACGTTAGATCACTCCGATTCATTTTGTTTTCCTTTTTTCATTCTCATATTCTTATTTTGTATATGTATTGTGTAAAATGTATATTATGTATATAAAGAGGATTATATAAAAAAAAACAGTTAATGTGAAGATTCTTATGTGAAAATAAATGATATTTTTGGAAAATGTGATTGTCGCCGACATTGTGTTTTTTGCAGAGATGTGTGATGTCATCAGTTGTCCTGATTGTATTTATTTAGTGCATGCAAAATAATATGGACTATTCCCAAGCTGAGCGAAAGCACATATTGTCCTGCGTGTGTCAATAGGATGAAGTATTTTGTCTCACAGGGTTTATGTTTCACCGGTGACAGGAAAAAAATGACAATGGTCGGAGGTCAGAGACATCAGTTTGACCGTGTGTGTGTGTGTTTTAGGAGGATAACGCACAAGTGTGGTTCTTCCCTTTGTATTCTGGCTAAACTTGGGCCTTTGCCAGACGGCTTAGTAAACATACGCACACTTCTTCTGTTATTGTTTTCCTTTTTAAAAGTTCTCATTTGTTTCATTCCTGTCTTTAAAAAAATTGCATCAAGCTCAAACCAGTATTATTTGAGTATCACTGAGATACTATCATTTATATTTGAATCTGTTTTTATGTTTTCCATTTAAATTTTTGTTAAAGTTGTAGTATTTTTTTGTAGTTTTTATTTTTTAGGTATGTCTATATATTTTTTATTAATTTTTATTTCAGTTTTAGTTATTTTAGTACATCAAGTTAAACTAAATTAAAATGAGAAATGTTGCCTTGGCAACTAGCTGAAATAAAAAATTATGTTTTATTTTGGTTCATGTCTTTTTTATTATTATTTCAAGTAACAAACTTTTTTTTTTATGATTTTAATTGTAGTTTTAGTTTTAGTTCATTATGATAACGCTGTCTCTAACAATTTAAATATTTCTTAAATTTATGTGAAAACTTGTTTAATGATAACTACAAACATTTTGTTTGCTAGCTACATTTTGTCAGCTAGCTGCCCTCTACTAAATGACAGTATGACAGATTAATTTAATTAATTTTGCCACCTTGTTACCCATTTTTACATTATATACATTTTATCTGAAATTGTAATGTATATTTTTATTGTTATAAAATGACAAATTCCCAAAATGTGTAAATTTCAGAAAAAGAGTAGGAAAAAAAGATAATATATAGTTTATCTGAACATGTTCTGAAGGTTAAGCACCTCTTTTAAAAAAGGAAAAACAAAACGTTTTTCAGGCTGTATTTTATACCCTACTCATGTATAGTACATTCCGGCGTGACCTTTTCTTTCAGGCCTTCTTTCGTTTTATTTACCTATCATTGTCTCCATCTCTTTCTGTATGGCAGCATCTCATTTTCTCACTTTCTCTCCGTTTCTTTCAGCCTCAGTTCTTTGTTTACCTTCCGTAAAGCTCTCTCTCTCTCTCTCTCTCTCCATCTCTCTGTGTCTCTGTCTCCTACACACTATTGTTCCTCCCTTCCTCCTGCTCATCTCCAGAGGCCTTTCTTTTCTTTTCTTTTTTCTTCTTTTTTTTATGGCTGTGACTGTAAGCAGCTGTCACACTGCAGACTGATTTCGCAGCTCACACCCTGACCGTGTGTTTTCAGAGCTTTGACCCTCCGACTGTAAATCAGCCCCTCTCTTAACCGTTTGACCTCTTCTGAAGAGTTTAAAGGGAATAAGTGGCACTTCACTAGAGGACTTTTGCTTTAAATAGTCATTATTGCTAAAGAGAAACCACAAAGAGTCAGTCGAATGAGCGACAAAAGGAGTCGTATAAAAACTTTTCTGGAGACAAAGAGCTCAGTATGATGTGGAAAAAGGACATCTGATTATGTACAGATAGCAAAAAAAGTTTGTAAAAAATGAATTAAAATGTAGGGAAATGTTCTTATTTTTATATATTTGTATAGAAAAATTCTAAATAATTAGTAATATAATTTAAGTAAATTTTAATAATATTAAAATAATTTATAACTAATATTTAATTTTAAGTTCTGCTTTGAATGCCTTGCCATATGTGACCCTGGACCACAAAACCAGTCTTAAGTTGCTGGGGTATATCTGTAGCAATAGCCAAAAATACACTGTATGGGTCAAAATTATTGATTTTTCTTTTATGCCAAAAATCATTAGGATATTAAGTAAAGATCATGTTCCATGAAGATATTTTGTAAATTTCCTACTGTAAATATATCAAAACTTAATTTTTGATTAGTAATATGCATTGCTAAGAACTTAATTTGGACAACTTTAAAGATGATTTTCTCAATATTTAGATTGTTTTTTTGCACCCTCAGATTCCAGATATTCAAATTAGTTTTCAACAAATTGATCAAATCGATTTTCAAAGGTTGTATCTCGGCCAAATATTGTCCTATCCTAACAAACCATACATCAATGATGTATACATCTCAATTTCGAAAAATTGACCCTTATGTCTGGTTTTGTGGTCCAGGGTCACATATAGACTTCCATTGTAAGTCTATTACTATTAATGCATTTTTTCATTTTAAAAACTGAACCGATGAGTCAAAATAGTTTTCTGTGCTAATGGGCGACATATAATTGCAAACTTTTTTTTTTTTTCCATTTTAAAAATGAACTGCACTTGAATTGGATGAACTTCAACTGCAGTGTCAAAGAGACTAAAAAAAACAAGAGGGCCAAGATCTCTCCCTCCTTCCTGCATATTATTCATCTCACATCTGGGAAAAATGTTGGCCCTCTCTTATCAGCTTTTAATGTCTCCTGAAGATTGAGAATGTTACTTCGGTATTTTTCTATTTGCAAGATAATGCATTAAGTTGGTCCTGCACATCTGTTTCTGTGCTTTATGATAAATATGTTAAGCTTTTGTCCTTGAGCTACAAATACACATCGTGAGACGGTCTGCATTTATACACACACACCACTTCGATCAAGAAATATGCTTAGTACGTTTTATCCTTACGGAAGTTGGGGCAAATACTGTGGCTTTGTATCCCATTTCTGTTATTCATCTGATAAAATGTGTTGTAAAAGACAAAGAGCATTCATTAGATGATAACACACTTCATTTGTTCTTATTTAAATTGCTATACAATCACAACAGGAAGCTTGGATGAAAGCCACAAAACGTAACAGGAAGTATATGTTGAAATCAATACAGGCTGTACTGTACATGTATGTGTTCTGACTAATATCACATTTGCTTATTCTCATATTCAGTCATCGGTGGAGGAAGCAGGTTGGAGAACAGCAGCTACTTGTCTGGACGCAGCATGGGCATCATAGGGAGAGAAATATGACACAAGTCTTCCTCAGACAGCATATGTCTCATACTGTTATCTAACATGAACAGGGAGCTGGAGAAACTCTGTACTGAAAAGACTGATGACAGTGAGGAAGCAGAGAAAAGGAGATGTTCATGCAGGTATGTATTAATATGTATTTTTAAGCATAAAAAGTTATTTATTTAAAAATTTTATTAAAATAAAGACCAACTTTGAAAATTACTTATTTTCTAAATAATTACTTTGGACCTATTTTAATTATTATTAATATCATTTTTTGTATCTAAATGGTTGCCCACTGTTTCTGAACCATTTTTGTTGCATGAATTGGCATTTGAATAATCAATTGTAATTAGCTTAAAAGCTGATCAATAAATTGTGCAACGAGAATTCTGTTATTTTAGTTTCT